TTTGCTTTTGATTGTATCCCACATAATTCTCAGGGTTTCTTCATTTTTCTTTGTTCTTTTTTCTGATTTTTCCTCAAACAGAGTTGTATCCAAGTGATTTTCTTCAGTTTCTCTGATCCTATCTTCCATCATTTCAAACCTGCTCCTCAGCCCTTCTATGACACCATCCATTTCTGGAATCTTGTTGTTTTTCCTTTGGTTTTCTAATTGTTGTTTTTGTATGATTTCTAGTCGTGAATTTATCTTAGCGTTTTGTTCCTGTATTATTTTCTTGAATTCTTCCATTTTTTGTCTGTATTTTCCATGAGTTTGTCTGCCTTTTCCATGAATTTGTCTATTTTTTCCTCATTTTTGTCTGCTTTTTGCTTCAACTCTTGGATAATTCTGAATATTAGAGATTTGAATTCCCTATCAGTTAGGTCTAGTGCCTTTTCTTCTACCAGAAAGTCATCTGGGGTTTTATTTTGGACGCCTACTGGCACGATCCTGTCCTGTTTTTGTAAATGTTTTGATATTGTCTGCTGTCTTTGGGGTATTCAGTGGTTATTTTCCTCGTTTATTGATTGTAGATTTGTTTGTTTCATCCTGCTTTTTTGTTTTATTTGGTTATGTCTGAGCAGGCGGGCTGTGCATTCTTTGTTGTTTGCTCATCTGTGGGCCTGATACTTTTCACCTCCTTCTCCAGTGGGCCGGGTCAGTCACTCAGGTATGGTACAACAGGGCAGGTCCAGCTGAAGGGAAGTTGCTGGGATGGGTGTTTGTGGCATGTACCGGAGCTGACATTGCAGACTGGGAATCAGTGCAGGGCAGGTTCCAGTATGCCACACCTGTGCTGCTTGGGAATGTGACGTTCAGCGCACAGTGCAGGTAGGCAGGAAGGAGGGGGTAGATTGTGATGTGTGGAGCTAAGATGGGTATGGGAAAGAGGAGACAGAGGAGAGAGGAAGAGGAGCCAAAAACAAACAAACGAGAAAGAGTGCTAAGGGAGCTTGCTATTGGAGTGGAGAGATGAGAGACTGAGAAGCAGAGAAAACAAAAATGAAAAAAAAAATGAATAAATCAAGAAACTGGAAATGAAGAAAGACAAAAAAGGAATAAGAGAGAGAAGAAACAAAACAAAGAAACAAAACAAAACAAAAAAAAATACAAGAAAAAAGAAATGCCCCCAGGGATGTCCCTCTGCGTCTGCGCAGAGTAAGGGAGTAGCTTCCAAGACGCGTGGTACCACCTGGCTAGAAGGGGCTCCCAAGCCAAGAAAATAAAAAGAAAACACACAAACAAATCAGAGCAGACAAACAAACAAAAAAGCCCCAGGCAACCCCAGTTTTTGTAGGCTCCAACTGTCCTACAGATTAGTTTTCTCAAACAGTTCTCAAACTTTTCCATGACGATTCCTAGGGTCTGTAGGTGTTTTAATTCCAATATCTGGGTCATCTTGGAGTTGGTCTTCATTGATTGTGTTTTCTCTTGGGTATGGGTCATAGATTTTCCTGTTTATTCACGTGTTGAGTAACTTTGGATTGTATCCTGAACATTGAGAATGATATGTTATAGAAACTGTGGATTCTTTTATGTCCCTCTGAAGAGTGTGTATGTGTGTATGTAAGTTACAGTCAGCCCTGCATATCTGAGGGTTCCGCATTCATGGATTCAGCCAAGCGCTGATCATTTGTTTGAGCACTGTTTGCCTCACATCTTGTTCATTCGCTACTTTGCATTGTGTGTACCCTTTATTCTTGTCATTATTCCCTAAACAATGCAGTATAACAACTAATTACATGGCATTTACATTTTGTTAAGTATTATAAGTAATCTAGGGATGATTTAAAGTATATGGGAGGGTATGTATAGGTTATATGCAAATACTATACCATTTCATATAAGGGACTTGAGCATCCGCAGATTTTGGTATCCGTGGGGGTCCTGGAACCAATCTCCCTCAGATACTGATATATTTGTATGTTCTTATTATTAAGTAGGTGGTTAACTTGGTTGAACCCAAGTTGGAAACTCTGTCTCCCTGCAATGGGCAGTAGCTCAAGTATCTGTGCAGTTGATTAGCTTTAGCTGGCCTACTTGAGAGTCGGACCTGGGCATGTGTGGTTAAGGGTAAGCCAGAGATCTGAGGCTTTTCCTCTGTGGTTCTCTCCTCTCTGGGATTCCTTTCCCCTCACTTTCCAGCTGCTGATCTCTGGTTCATCAAGCCAGTAAATCCTAATTTTAGCCACGTCCTCAAGCTAAAACCATAAAAAGAGGAAAACTTAACTAGGGCTATTCCTTTCTTCCGAGTCTCCATCTCAGCCAGTGTTTTGTCACTGTCCTCTGCCTTCACATGGTTGTTTTGCACACTTTGTCCCAAGTTTATAATTGTTACCTATAGGAGGGTTGCTCTGATAGGAGCCACTTGGCCATTACTGGAAGCAGAACTCTAGCTTGTGGTCTTTGTTCTAAGAATAGT